AGTCCCACCAGAGAACCTGCAGGTGTGAACCAGCGCATCACAGATCATCCCACCGGTCACTTGCTGGGTGGGGAGATTTGCAGAGGGAGAGGGAGACAGCAAGAAGGCCATCTCCCAGGCCATCTCCCATCACCAGCAATCCTACAGAAGAACCTTCCTCTTCTGAAAAAGGTCCTGTTGCTTCAGAGCAAAGGCCTTTGGAGTCCAGCATCCCCAGTGGCTAAGCAGGTGCCTCCTGGAGGCCTTCAAGCACAACTCAAGGTCTGTGGCCCTCTCCAACCACTGCCGCCCAACAGCTGGGGTTTAATGCTGCTCCACCTGTTCACTCCATCACCATCAACAGCCTTGGTGGCCTTAGGTTCCCAACAGAGTTTGGCCAACAAAGGCAATCCCAAGTGGAGTATCTACAACCAGCGCTTGGGGGAAGTTGGAGTCCCAACCAGGTTTCTGGTTGGAGGCAGCAGCATCAGGGTCAGACTGAGGGTGCTTAACTGAGTGCTTCCCCACGAGGTGTGGCATTTAGATGCTTTGGTTCAGTCACATTTTCTGGAGCATCCATACAGCCCTCTCATCTGGGCACTGCCAGCCTCACTTTTCCCACAGTGTATTTTTGGAGGCCAGAAGAGATTCTTCCAAAAAATATCTCCTAGTACTTCCTGTTTAGCTCCTTAACTTGCTTGGCTTGGTGGTGAAAAGAAGAAAAGGGGAGAAGAGGTCAGAAAACACTGGAAGCGGCAAGGAGAAATTGACTTCCTGCAAAATTCCCCCAACGAGGTAGACCAAGCTCAACCACGCAAAGTCCTACAGAGAAGTAACCCGTGGCCTACAAATTTAGACCCTTCCGTGTCTAACTTTCTTTTTAGTAGATGGGGCTCTGAAATATCGTGAAGCTAAAACAAATCAGCGAGCATCCTTTTATTTATTTAATTATAAATCAAATTTATACGTCGCCCATCTCACTATCAGTGACTCTAGGCGGCTCGCAAATAAAAAACATAAAAACATTTAAAAATTATGATAACTTGCTTTCACATAACCATTCGACTGAAAAAAACATAAAAACGTTTAAAAATGTGCTTTCGCATAACCATAAGATTGGGAAGGGTTGCCTTAGTTTCACCCGTGTCACGTGCAGCATTTCCTGCTAATGGTAAGGACAGAGGGACATTTGCACCAGTGTGCCACAAGTGCAACTTAAAAGTGTTAACCTGAGTGTATGCACACTCTTCTGTGCAAGCTGGGATCTCTCATCCAGGAATTCCTTTGCATTTGGCTTTAATGGTGGCTTTTCTTCCAGGATTTGGTGGTGGTGGTGGTTTTAACTCTATCGTGTGACTGTTTTGATTGCAGGCCACCTAGAATCATTGTGGAGTTGGGCTGCCTTAAACATTTCTAAAATAAAGACAGTAAAGACAGACAGACAGACAGACAGACCTTGCAAGCCAACATAGAAATGCCACGATATACTGACACACGTACACAGACAGAGAGGGCACTAATTGTGCATTTCTGTAAGTGTAACATAGATTTAGCTATAGTTCTTTTTCCTTATATCTTTAATTTCTTTTGGTTATTGTAGTGTTTCTCATCCTCGGCAACTTTAAGATGTGTGGGCTTCAACTCCCAGAATTCCCCTGGCTGGGGAATTCTGGGAGTTGAAGTCCACACATCTTAAGGTTGCTGAGGATGAGAAACACTGGCTACGGCAGCAGCAGATCAGGGAGAATCTGGTAGCCCCTTTTCCGACTAACACGATTCTATTAAAAATCATAAGCCGCAGCTCACGAAAGCTTCTGCCTTTTAATAAAAATGGTTCGTTGGAAAAGGGGCTGCCGGACTCTCCCGTGATTTTTTTGATCCTGTTAAGGAGAAAAATATGCAAAGTTATCTCAGCGTTCGTTGCAAAAAGGGGACTTGAGCATGAAATCTTTCCAGGGCTTCAGGTATTATGCCCGCTGGTGGGAATGGCAGCCAGGAAATGCAGCATTTTCAGGAGCACGGGAGGGCCATCGGAAGGGCCGGGCACAGCTCCCTGCCCGCTTCATGGCAGCTGGAGCAAAGCCATAAAGGCTCAACCATCGCTCCATAGTTGGGGGCAGCTGTGGGGAGCCTGGCGCTGCCCTTGTGTTGCAACAGGGCCAAGGAGGGCCACTGAGCCTTCGGGCAGGCCATTTCCCTGGGTGGGGTTCACCGCCTGGGCAGAAATCCAACAGGTGGTGCTTCTCTGCCCCTAAGTTGCTGTGCCTGGCGTCTGCTTCCCCGAAATGATTCCCCAATGATAGCTACATTAATGTATTGAAACTACATATGCCTCTGAATAATATTTCCCTTAGATAAAGATACATAGATCTGTAACTATTTCCTGTTATAATGATATATCACACTAAGTTTTTAATTTTTTTTGTTGCATTTTTGTCCCTTTTATTTGGGGTTTTGGTTTTCTTTTCTTGTTATTGATTAAAAAGCAATTAAAAACGTATAGCTATAAAAAAGGGTCACCTCGCGTGGGAGGACGACAGCCACCGGGGAGCCCCGCTGCCCAGCAGGAGAGCAGCGGCCCTGGGCTGCATCGACCAAGCGGCGGCTGGGTCCATAACCCGGCTTGGCCCTGAGCCGGACCGGGGGCCCACCCCGATCCGGCCCCCGCGGGAGCCGCGCCTCTTGCGAGAAATGGGCGGCTGCAGCGGGAGAGCCCCCCGGCCGGCCCAATCGAAGCCGGCGCCGCGCGCCGCCCTGGCAGCGCCGGGGCACCGCTGCGCCGGAAGATGCTTTCCA